AATTCGCCAAAATCTCCCTTGCCAATTCAAGCCTAATTCTACTCTGGACCTCCAAAATCAATTCCAATCGCACTCCTAAGTCACAAATCATCCCCCGAAGCTAACCGAATCACCGGAAATCACATCCGAGCCCTCTAACTCAATAGTCAACATTCGGTTGACTTTTCCAATTTAAGCTTTCCTTAAAGAGACTAAGTGTCTCATTTCCTACCAAAACCAATCCAAATCAACCCTAACACACCAAATACCGATAATTAAACATGAAGAGGCATAGAATGGGGAAAACGGGGCGGTAACTCTCGTGACTACGGGTCGGGTCGTCACATCCTCCCCAACTTAAACAAACGCTCGTCCTCGAGCGTACCCAGAGCTGTGCTAAAAGCCAACCAATCGCTGAATAACCCTTCCATGCATATACCCGGGGGTGATTCTACGTCACCCTATCTCACATAGGTCCGACAATGCATTTTAACTATAATTACACAATCCAGTCCAGCCTATAAATCATAGAACCACATTCCACTTTCCGAAATCATCCACAATACCAGAACCTCACTTCTATATTCAGAATAAGCCCGAACCAGCTGTAATAACCCATACTTGCAACCTCAGGTGCAATCATATGATATTCCACATAACCCAACACTCGAAATGGTAACTCCTATCCACAGTAGTTGCCCACAACGCCCGAATACCGGTAGAAAACCTCTTAACAACTAAAGTTTCCTTCCAATACTTTTGCATATACTGCAACTGATAACTAAAACACGCGGCAAATCATCACCATTTCTCAGATCAACCATTCATGACACCACTTCTCCTTTGGCAAATGCTACATCAAATTTCTGAGTCGAAGCTCGATATTATCCTTCCATCATACTGAAATCGAATCTGCTCGTACTCATTAAAGATCCCAACAATCTCATCTAATCAACACCCTACTCTGGTGACATTACACATTAGTAGAGGACTAAGCCACAACTCGCACAATACGCGCACCAATAAGCATCAGTCCGAACATACTAAATTCCTGAAAATGACTCAAATGAAAGAGCTGTACTTCTAGCTCTCCAGTACCACCACAACACAAAACTGGGAACCCGCCTCCAATCATAGAGACAGAACACACGAATCTGCTCGCAGTATCATACCTCCACATAACTTCGTCCTAATGCGTGACCTCATCCAATACGAACCGCTTAGGCAATAAGCCACCCCGTACATAACCAAAAGTCTCATATGACGCCACAAAGTGCTGATAGG